AGAACTGGCTAAGCTTTTCCGAATTAGCCCGATCGGAAAACCCCGAAGGGTGATTTTCCTAGCAAAGATCCCATATAAATCAAAAAATCGATTAATTGAAAGTTGGTAACGCTAATCGTTGAATAAGTGATTATCGTTATCAAACTTTCTGTTATAAAAGAATTTAACCAATCAAATTATTTAGTTATGCAAATAATACATGTGATCGTAAAGAAAATTGACAATTAACAAAAACTAAGTAGATAAAGAACTTTTTTAAATGTAAAAAAGAACAATATATATATATATACTAGTGCTGGGATCCGTTAACGGACCCCTAGGGATCCGTAGGGACGTTAAATTACGAGTCCGGTCCGGTCCGGTCCTAGGATCTTCCAGGACCGTAAATCCTTAAATCACATGAAAAAACAATACATCAACGTTCTTACCTGTAGGGATCCGTAGGGACGTTAAATTACGAGTCCGGTCCGATCCGGTCCTAGGATCTTCTAGGACCGTAAATCCTTAAATCACATGAAAAAACAATACATTTATATAGGATTTAGATCCTGAATTGGATCCCTCCGAATAATTTTTTGTTATCCGGCAGCTTACTATGATAGTGCTTGCCAAATAACTCGAGTTATTTTGCAGTGATTACGTCATCTGGCAGTTAATTGGCAGCTTACATAATCATTACCAAAAACTCGAGTCATTTGGCAAGCACAATCGTCGTAAACCACCGTTTGTATATTACGCAGCCAATGACTTGTTTATCTGGCAGCGAATTTGATTCTGGGCCCTTCGGGGCCCAGAAGCTGACATATCAAATTCACAGCCAGATAATGAATAATATAGAGTTATTGGATGCGAAGCAGCTAATAACGGAAATTATTTGGAAAATAATTTCATTATCTGGCTGTTAAATTTAATATGTCAGCTTCTGGGCCCCGAAGGGGCCCAGAAATGACATATTAAATTCACTGCCAGATAACGGGTTTATTTGGTCAAGGATTTAAGATCAGCATAGGGAGTTGAATTCCGAATTGTTTGGAATTCAATTTCTTTAAATTCTTGACCAAATAAATGAGTTATAGTATGAGCATGCTTGATAACGGATTATCCAGCGGTTTATTATGATTGGCCTGCCCAATAATAAAATTATTGGGCAGAGACAATAGTTTAAACTATTTTTAACTATTATCTCTATAGACTTTTTAATTTACCATAATAAGAATAAAACTATTGGTCAGCGCATTCTAATTGGCTATTATCCGGATATCCATATCCGGATTGCTGTTTTTGAGCGCAGATGACTATCCGGATATCTGAATTGCATATACAATATATAATTATTTAATCTTAAGTCCCCAACGTTGAAAAGACATTGCACATTCGTGCATATACGAGATTCTATAGTTCAACCCTACGGTCCTAGTACTAGTTTTTGTAAAATATTATCGATAACCGTAGCTACATATAAAAATCAAAATTTACTGTTAATCGATATTTTAATCGATTTTAAGTTGCTATCCTGAACAACTTTACTGAAGATGTAAATATTGATTAACCTAGTAACATTTTGACTTTGTGTGTAGCTACGATCATTGATTAATGAAATCACAGCGTTTAATAACTTTTTATATTAGCTATCTGACCAATAAAATTACTTCATATGCAAATGACCCAAATGACAGATCAAATGACTTGGTCACGTAAATGAGGGTGACCCGAGTGGAGATTTTTTAGAAGGGTGTATCTTAATAAAAAGAATTCCTTGTGGAATTTCAGTAGTATCATGTCTTATTTGACCTTAATACAGTACTAACACAAATAATGTGCTTTATTATTTGTGTCGTTTTTTTTTTTGATATTAGATAAAGTCTGATGTAATCTATTTCGTCCAATCAGGGATAGGGTTTCTAAGCGTCCAATAGGAATTTGGGGAAAATTAGTAAATCCGATATTAACGAGAATCATTACTATAATTCTATATATTATAAAAATAAAAACATACGTACGTATTATGTAAAAACTGGTAAAAGCATGAAATAAAATATATAATTTACAGTATATTAATTAAAAGTAAGTTATTTAAGTTCGAAAATATTTATTGTAACATGGTACTAAATATTTATTCACAACTTTTTTCAATTAATTAAATAAACTATATCTAGCTTATACTACAAAAGCAAAATTCATTAAATTATTGTATATACAGTATGTGTTATATTTCTGTATTTAATAATATTAATAAGTATTTTGGTTAAAGTTTTAAATTCAATTTCGAGCTATAAATTTTTTTAACCAAATTATTATACGTATAATTATTAAGCAAAGTTCTGATTAACGGTAATTCTCATTGAGTGAACTGTTTGAGAATCTCCTAAGAAAGTTCTCAATCGGCTCGGAGTTCTATTTGGTTTAATTTCAGCAAAATATAGTCTTAACCATTGGTACTTGTTTGTAAAACACATAAAGAACCAAATTACTGGTACATGCACGATGTATGTAGAACTTAAAAAATTTCGTCACACATTGAGGTAAGCATTGTGATAATAAGAATGAAAATTAATACATAGTAAACAAAAAATTCTATAGTCAGCTATTATATAAAGAAAAATGGGGCGTATCATGTATAAATTAGACAAACTTATTTACGTGTTTATGTCAAAATATAAACTGTCAGCTTTCACATGCTAACACAGTATGATTTAGGAGCAAATTAGGTTTACTTAATAAGATGTTTCAGCTTAACGTTAATGTAAAGCCAAAAGATTATGAAAATAAAAAACTTACATTTATATTGAATAAATGACTATATTTGATTAATGTTTTCCATCATACTTAGAAGTTTAAATTGTTCAATGATAAATGTAACAGTAACAATAGTTCGTTAGGTAGTATGACCGTTATGAAAATACCAACTCCTACAAAGCGGTAATCGGGTAATCACCAATCTCAAATAAGAAAAAAAAATTGAATTCATAAAATTATAAAATTAATTCTACTCTATGTAAAGATAATAATATATATTACAAAATTATATCAATCATATAATAACCAATCTTTGTTAAATTTAAAGGACCGATAAAAATTAGGAATTACTGTATATTACATAGAATACGTACATATTTTTTTTGTAAGGGATGGTTATATTAATAGTGATAATAGTATTATAGTTCTAATTAATTTTATTGAGTAGGTGGTTGATGTAGCAGCATGTAGGTAGAAATGAATGAGAGATTCACACCACATAATAAATAAGGATAAATGTGCGAAATCTATTCGAGTTCTTCTTCGTTAAGAAGCATATTAGGTATACCATCTCTAATAGGATATTCATGAGAACAATTTGAACAAATCATTTTTCCTTCCACAATATGCGTCTATATAATTAAGATTAAATAAATATGTGAATTATGTACGTGATTGAAGAAATCAAAATATAAAATGATAAAGTACTTCAAATAATATCCTATGAAGTTTTTTTAAAAAATCTTCATCAATTTCCTCTGGAAAAGTTTGTGGGAGTGAGGTTATTCCGATCTGAAGTAAATTAGAAACGAACGTGTAATACGAAAGAAAGTTTATGAGATATTGCATAAACGCGTGCCAGAAAGAAACCCAAGAGCGCTTGTAAAATTTTAAAGAAAATTACTTGTTCAGCAGTAGCTACAAAAGCTTTCCAATCTAATTTTGTCAACAGGCTTTGTAGAAATTCATGATTATACTCAATTTCATGAATCTCAAGCTCGACATCCGAAAGTTGTAAAGGAAAGTTATTGGAATCACAACCTTTAACGTGACATTGAAGCATATTATGGACTATTAACCGCATTTTTTAAGAGTATTGGAAAGAAAAGTTTCTGTTTCTCCGATAAAATGAAAATAATTATTTCTGTATTTTTTTGATTTACCGTTACTGTACATTATATATATGATAATCAATGATACACAAAATCACAAAATATAAATTTTTTTTTTTTTTGTGATATCTGAATGTCCTCCAACTTAAAAAGTTATAATCAACATTACAAAGCAATTCGAGTAACTTGGAATGTTTGCAAGAAGTAGACTACTTACTCTTCCTAAACTTAATCAAGGTAAATTAAAATTTTTACTTTACAAAGCAATAAAACAATAAAACACAATTAAATTAATTATTAGTTAACAAAGTCAAACATATATATGGCTTCCATACAACGGCTATTTTACAAAGTGGGAAAGTCGTTGAGGCAACCTCTCAATCTTTTCAAAAATTAGTTTTAAATGCGAAAGAGCCTGTCATTGTTGATTTTTATGCAGAGTGAGTTGAAAGATAGCTAGAAAGTTAGTTGGTTATACGAGGGTAAAAAAAAAATGCTTTTAAAAATCCTATTGTGAAATATAAATTGATGGGCAATTGTAAATCAACAGTTGGTGTGGACCCTGCAAGTTGTTGGCACCGATTCTTCATCGTATCGTTACCGATAACAAGAAAGTTACCCTTGTTAAGGTAAACACGGATGAGAACCAAGATTTGACCGAAAAATATAAGGTGATCGTTACAAATTAAATGAGTGATGAAAAAAAAAAAATTTATTAAAATTTGAGATATTTGCATTTTAGATTACTGGACTTCCAACGGTATATTCATTTCACAAAGGCAAACCGATAGAACATTTCATCGGCGTAAAATCCGAAGGAGCTATTAAGGAATTCGTAGAAAAAGCAGCTTGTTTGGCGGATTAATAGTACATCAGAATTATGCTAAATAATATATTTAAATTGTAAATATGTATTTTTATGCGATTTACTTAAAACCGTGTCCAATTTTTAAGTGATTTACATAACGTTAAATTTTTAAAAACAATTTTTAATACCAATGTTCGATTTTATAATAAATATTTTTTAAGAATTATCTGTTTGGTCTATGTTCCGGCAATATGTTATTTCTTTACTTATAATAAAGGTTGATTTTTTATCGAGCATTCTAAAAAATATTCAATCAGTAAAATATTACGTACGTACGTACGAACATTCGATTCTTCCATAAAAAAATGATCGTGTAACATATCGATGTCAAATATTGTATACTTCAGGGCAGGGGCCACTTACGATTTAAACTAGGGTTGTTTTATATTTTTTACTTTTGCAGGAGGATCCCTAAATTTCCGGGTCGGAATGGCCGGAATGCATCGTGGTTAGCTATACTGGTTAGTAGAAGCTATAATAAAATTATCAGCCGGGCATTTTTTACTTAATGAACGACTATGGTTTATTAGTAAAATAGTGATCTTAGGCAAAATTGTTCGATTCCGGCCCATCCGACCAGGGTCCGATGCATCCCGACCCGTAATTTTGGGATCTCCCTGTAGGAGTTTTTATATTATGGATGGATCAGTCTTGAAAAGACCGAATGACCAGTCTTTTTTTAACCTGTCTCATCGAAAAGCATAGGTACGACTTGTCATGTGTTGGCTAGTTAAATATACCGGAAATAGGTTCAATAAAGGACTTTAAATTTCGTAGAATAATGATATGCTCCCGGAAAAAATTAGCGAGGTATCATCGTAACGGTGGAATGAGTGGGAAACGGCATAAGCCGGTGGTTTCCTGTCTGCTCGAAGCAGGCCGGCTGTTAAATGGGAAAATGACGAAATTAAGAGAAAAATGAAACGGTTATAGCTGTTAATACTTGATTGTGTTGAAAAATGAAAGCTATTCGACGCTTCTTTATATATTAATTGTGTCTATTACGTAACGTTTGTTCGCACGAATTCACAATCCCTGGCTATGTCATCGGGCAGGGGTTGTAGCACTTGGGTATGACTGACAATTCTTGATCATATCTAGAAATGTACTTCGCGCGTGAATAAACTATTCGACTAAAAAATTTCATTGAAATTTCTAGCACGTAATCACATAATCCTGTAATCTAAAATGAATTTTCATCACATGACTCACGAGCTCGCGCAACAGTCTCGCGCACGATATGTTAAGTTTATCTCACGAACGGTACATCTCTACTCTACTCTCGTCAACGTGCTAGAGCTCTTACCCGTACGGGTCAGCTTCTTGGCGGTCACGGGTCACAGGGGTTAAACAGGTCATGGATAACATGGACAAAATTCATGGATGTGTATCAAAAGTTCTTATACATAGTCCCTAGAAATAAATTTAAATAGACCTTAAAAAATATTATAATTTTTAATAATTATTACTTCATGATCGTTATAATCACCATATAGATCACTAAAAAAAGAGGGACCATGTACAAGGACTTTTGAACACCCGGTATAGATAAAATCTAGTGATCCAGTACTTCTGTCGTAGAAAATGTATGAACTCCAAGGTTGAAAAATTTTCGATGCAAATCAAAATCTGAAAAGTTTCGGTTCAAGTATTCGTTATATATTATTAATATAAAGGCACAACATAATATTATAAAATGCTATAATTTCTACTCTTTAAACTCTCGAGATAAGGTTCAGGGCACAGCTTTAGCTTAAAAGCATGTCTTCAATATTCTAAATTTAGAGGCATGCCTATAGGCAAGCTCCTCAAAATTTTTTCATGAGTTAATTTTTTATGTATGTAAATTTTTTAGTAAGACGCATGCCCTAGGTATGCCCTTATAGGGCATGCCCAAAACCTCTGTGCCCTGTTTCCTATCTCGAGAGTAACCTTCATAACTACTGATCCAAGCAGTAGCTCTAAATAAAAGTCGCTACATTAACTTTATGTGTTAACTAAAATTTTTATGATTTCCAGGTCAATAGGAGTTACAATTCGGATCATATATCAATGCATCAATGCTGGCCGAACTTTCGCAAAACTGGTGTATATAACATTATGAAAAATTACATGAAATCTGATTTACTAAACAACTACATGTATTTAGATTGTAACTTTTGTAACATAGAATATGACACGAGATGGTTAGATAAACTCATGTTGTTAAATAAATGAATATGACGCAGATACAGTATTAATTTGACGCACAATATATACGAATAAAGAAAATTCAACTAATTAACATCATGTAAAATCATATAATATATTTTTGTATTAAAATCATTTTTATTATTTAATATATTATTGTAACAATACATAAATTTATTAATAAACTTTATTATCGTTAAATCATTAAATATTATACAGTACGGGACAGCTAAGGATATCCACTTTATATATGAGTGCCGCCCAGGGACACGGAAATTGTGTGATTTAGTGTGATTAAACCAAATCGTACTAAATCGCATCATATTTATATTCTCCGATTAAGAAATTGCGTATTAATTTATTCTCCGATTAAAAAACTTGTTAGTTGAGCGCAGTATTGAAAAAAGGGAAGTTTTTTTTTCGAGTAAAATTTGCAAAAAACACTAAATCGCACTTTTAAATTTTAATCGTCAGCAAATCGCATATATTATACATACCGCACGCCGCCAAGGGAAAACCTGTCATCGGGCTTTCAATTATATTTTGTGTACAGTTAGCCATCTATGGAAAATCTATCATAATAATAGATTTTTCGGGGGAGCCCTAATTTTCCCCCCCAGTTGTGATTGGACGCCCGGAATTCCATCTCTAATTGGATAAACTAGGTCATGCCACCTTAACACCGCCAC